CACAGGTTGACATCACTGTGGTCGCGGGGGAGGTGTCACTCGCTTGCCGGACGATCGAGGTGCGTTACGTGGACTGCGAGGATCGTTTCGGCAACGATCAGTCGCCCCTGCTCTGCGCGTTCCTGAAGAAACACGGCAACCCCCAGCACCGCGAAGTCACCGTCCAAGGCGTGGACCAGAACGGCGAAGCTGCAGAGCACGAGTTCGTGCTTCACGAGCGCAAGATCCCAGGCCATAAGACTGGCGGGGACTACTATTCCTGCAAGGTGGTGTGCCAGGAGTTTGCGAGGGTCTGCGTTGCGCGACTGGAGTTCCGCCTAGAAGACCTCAAGAACCTGGCCGGCTCCAAGCTTTTCCGGCCATCGTGTTATCCCGACGACAACGCGCAGCGGATGAAGAAGTGCCGCGAGTGGTTGGGCATGCTAGACCACATGTTTCACCACCGCCTCTTTGGTACGCCACCTGGTTGTGCCTGCAATGTGTTGTCTGCTGTGTGTGTGTGTGTACCTTGGTGTGCTGTTAAACACCTCCTATATGCCCCGATCGCCCCTCTCATTGCTCTGCTCTCCCATCCTGGCAGGTGTGTGCTTCAAGGCGTGCGAGAGGGAGCTACCGTTGTTTCTCCACACCATGGATACCAACCACGGGAACATGAGCTTCCACAAGTCGCTCTCGCTCATGCTCCAGTCAACTGACTACGTGGGAGCGTACCCGAACCTTGTGCAGCTGTGGCAGGCCGTAGCTGTGCTCCCCCTCAGCACGGTGGAGTGCGAGCGGGGCTTCAGTCGCCAGAACCGTATCAAGACGTGGAAGCGGACCTGCCTGGGCGACGCCAAACTGGGCGATCTGATGACTGCAGCGCTCCTGCCCAGTGATGGTCTGAACTGGGTGAATGTGGTAGCCGTGTTCAATGCTAGCAAGAAGCGCCGTCCTGCCCAGGAGTTTTTGTATTGATTTTGCTACTCTGCTCCCTGCTAGGAGTATTCTGCTGGAACCAGACCAGGCCAGACCATCCCATATGTAGGTCCTGTTGTTGTTCTAGTTCTAGTCATATATTTTATTGTTCTTTGCACGTCATGTCAACCTAAACATTAAGCGTTGGTTAAAAAAAAATGGTACAACTAACCGAGGTCCACAGTACACTGACGAGCACGAGTAACAATGCAGCCACCACTGATACACAAGACTGACATGGCTGCCCCACCCTTACTGAAAGACCAGCTTTGGCAGCCTGCCCTTTCGACTAAGAGTGCTTCCAAACCTATCCAGAGGCCTGGTGGCAGGCAAGCTCTCCCAGATGGAACCCACCTTGCACCTGCCAGCCAGAGGGAGACGGTCACGGTGGGAATCATACAGAGACTGCGTTTGTTAGCGAGAGATAGATGGCTGAAATATGGTGGTCGTGGTGCTGGTAGTGGGGCAAAACGGATGAGATGATGTGCCAGCTTTATCGTAACAGGGAAGTAACCACACGATTGTGGGACTCAAGTCAGGGGGAGCACAGCAGATTGCGAGAAAACAAGCAACCTGCAACCGTTGATGTTGGAAACAGGAAACAATTGGCCAGACTTATACCAGACCTGCTTCATCAATACTGCCCGACTTTCCTCACACAGCCCAGAATTCCCGCATACTGGTCAAACTTATTCGTTCTGCCAGCCAACAAGGTCTAGGAGGCGTGCTGCTCGCTTAAAGTCGCGATTGATAAGTCACTTTGTTTTCCTGCCATCCCCAGTCCGTCCACCTGAGGGTAGCTGATTGAATGTTAGAGGGACAGGTGGTGATGAGAAGCATTGGTGGCTCAAGGGATATGGCTCATAAGTCAAGCCAGGCCAAGTCCATCCCCTGCATGGATCATGGTGCACTGAAGCCATCGCAAGTCCGTCCCTTTGGGCATTGGCTTAAGGTGATTGATCAGGTGAAGGAAGGACAATGCAATCATACATTCCATCAGTAAGTTTGCATAAGGCATGATGCATTGCCATGCCAAATCCGTCCACTTCAATCAGCAAGAAGTATATGTTTTTTTTTTTTTTTTTTTTTTTTTTTTTTTTTTGTAGAACAAGTAATGAATAAGTCGAATGAGGGCTGAAATCACTCATAGTGTACTCGTCTGGCCTAGTTACTTGGATGAGGCATGCAGGAATGAGGCAAGTAAGTAATACTCGCCTCGTCCTTAGCTCATGCATAGGATACGGGGGAAGGGGATGGGTAAAGGGATGGGTAAAGGGGGACGATGATGGAGATTGAAGGCTGCACTATGCACACCTGGAGAGTGATTGGACGAAGCGGGAGCAGTGGGAGGGAGCGGTAAGACAGCCCAGGAGGGTTTAGAGGGAATGCCAGTGGTGAGCGAAGAGAGGAGAAAGGGAGGCATGATTCGATGCATAATAACATGTGTTCTGAAATGCGGTGCAGTGATTGGGGGAGGGGTTGACAGTGTCAACCCCTCTGTTCCCACATCCCTCCCCCCATTTTACTGGGAGACGCCGGGGAAGCAGCCCAAGAAGGGCCAGAGGGAAATGTGAGTGAGAGAGAAGTGCCGAGTGGTGGGAGGGGGAGCGAAGAAAGGAGCGATGTTGTGAATTGTCAGTCCCCGTCAGTCCCACGTTGGCACTTTGGAAAAAAATCACGCCAGGGCTTTGTAGGGAATGCAGCACGCATGGAGTATCAGGTAACGCACAACACCTCAGACCAAAGCATTCAGCCAGGCGTCATTCGGCCTCTCGCAAATCAGCCGCTCCGCTAGCCTTGCACGACCTGGAAAACCTGAAAACAGCTGAATCAGGTGAGAGTCACTTGGGAGCGACTGAGAGTGACCTGGGAGCACGTCCAGGGGGCACACAACAGCCTGGCCAGATCAATTCAGCGGCTAGTGACTGACACTGATAACATAAGCAGCCCACTAGCACCCACCACCTCGTTCGCCCAGCAGTGACCCATTACAGCCCACCTGCTCCTCCTCGAGAAAGAACTCGGCCACGGGGCACCCAGCAGACTTTCGAGATGCCTTATAACAACTCAGCCACGAGGCACCCAGAAGCTTCGGCCAGCTTGGCCTGCAACCTCTCCTGCACGTTCGCCACGCCAGCAGCACATAGGTTGCTCGTGATTTGCGCACCCGTGCCCTAGAGGCGGGAGTGCGTGGGGCAGAAGCTGGTGTGGGAGAAGAAGCAGGTGCGGAGCTGAGAGCTGAGGCGGAGTGGGGAAGGGATTGAGACGGGAGAGGGTAAAAAGTACAGTGGCTTAACAGAGGGGTGTGGGGTGTGTGGTGAGGGACACTGCGTTGGGACGCAAGTTGGTGGGCCAGAAGATGGTGTCAGAGAAGCATGTGCCGAGCTGAGGGGGAAGGTGTGTGGGGAAAAGAAACACAATGATTTATACGGGTGAAAGAGTGTGGGAGACAGTAGCATAAGGGGAATCCGTGCAACAAATCGGTGTAGGAGAAGCAGGTGCAGAGCTGGTTGGACGTGGGGTTGAAAAACGTGTTGGGGGATAGAGTGAGAGCATGGGGAGCCCCATAGAGGCGTAAGTAGGTGGGCCAGAAACTGGCGTTGGAGAAGCAGGTGGGGAACTGGATTGTGGGTAAGGGGAGAGGTGAACCTGAGAAAATAACACAGTGGCTTATGAGCGGGATGTGGGAACTGTAGGGAGTGAGTCCTTGGATCACGAAGCTGGCATCAGAGAGGCAGGAGAGGAGGAAAGCAACAGCAGTGTGTTGATGAGGTGGATGAGGAGAGGATGGGTGTGTGTGCACTGCTGCGACGATCCCGTGGGGCTGACTACTTCCATGAGTGAGACCAACGAGCCGACGGTGCCCTGTGTCATTAGTATGTTGGAAATGTATATTTCATTGCGTTCTTGCCCTTCATTTTCCAACACCCCCCACCCTCCCCCACCCACCCCCACACCCTTGTTTTTCACATGTCCTGCCTAGCATGTGCTGAGTGCTCTGCCTGAGCCTGAGCGGACGTCAGCATCCTGCTCATGTCCGCGGTAACTTAGATTGGGAGGAGCGGATGGTGTCGGGGAAAGGGATGGGAAGGGGACAGTGACAGGGACAGGAGAGCGGAAGAGGAAGCGGATAGGGAAAGGGATCGTGAAGGGGAAGGGTAAGGGGATAAGAGTAGGGGGGATATGATGGAGAGTGGTGGTTGCTGTATGCACCTCATGGCGAGAAGAAGGAAGGGCGGTGGGAGACGACGGTGAGGTGCAAAGGGAGGCGGAGAGTGATGGGAAAGGGGGGGCAGAAGGAGCGATGGTTCAAGAGTAACGGTCCCTGTTAGTCCCGATTTGCCACATGCAATAACTAATGCTGTCTCAGGGCATTCAGTAGCAGGGCAGTCAGCCTCTTGCGGATCAACATTCGAGACTGATCTGAGCTGAGAGAAACCTGAGAGTGATCTGAGGGTGACCTGAGAGTGTCCTGCTGGTGACCCATGACTGGCCACGTACCACACATGCACCTTCTCCATCCAGCAGTGACTAGTTGCAGTGAGCAGCAGCAACCCATCACAATCCACCTCCGTACTCGCCCCATGCACCTTCTTCAACCACCAACGAGCCATTACAGCCCACCTCCTTCCTCACAGCACGAACCTCTTTCTCTCTTCTGCTCCTTCGAGAGGAAAAACACTGCCACGGGACACTCAGAAGCCCCTGTCAGCGTCGCGTCACCCGTGATCTACCAGTGGCTCACAAGTTCTCTACAGCCCAGCCCACCACCCGTCACTCACTCACAACGCACCTCCTCCTTCTGCGCATCCAACCTTAAGGGGCACCGAGCAGTCCAGCCTCGCCCAGATGGGTCCGTCCAGCCTCGCCCAGATGGGTCCGTCCAGCCTCGCCCAGATGGGTCTAGCCTCTACCCCTCACTCACTCTAAACGCACCTCCTTCTCCTTGTGCACGTCAACCCTCAAAAACCGCCACGGAGCACTCAACAGCCCCGGTCAGCTGCGCCTGCAGCCACACCAGTGACCTGCTTGCCAGTGACCCGAAATCAGCCCACTTCCTTGGCACAACGCACCTGCTTCTCCCCCCACTCGCCCTTGAGAAAGATAACTGCCACGGCGCACCCAGCAGCCTCGCTCACCTTCGCCTGCAGCCTCTGCTGGGGTGAATAGTGCACCCGCGTTGTGGGGGTGGGAGTCGGTGGAGCATAAATTGGTGCAGGAGAAGCAGGTGCAGAGCTGGGGGGGGAGTAAAAAGGGGGAGGGGGGGGGAGAAGAGTGGGGAAGGGTAGACAGCAAAGTGGCATATGAGTGGATGTGAGAGACGGTGTTGTAGGAGTGCGAAGTCGGTGAGCCAAAGGTTGGTGTTGGCGAGGGGCGGAGCTGGTGGAGGGAGAGGTGGAGGGGGGACGGAAGAGGAGGGGGTGGAGGGGGGGAGGGGCGGAGGGTGGAGGGTAATGGGTGGTGAAGCGAAGGAAGGTGCAGCCTTGGCGAGAAGTGCGCTCAGCTGTTCGCAGGTTCTCCGCCAACAGTGCGTCCGTGGTTTAGGGGGTGGGATTTCATGGGCCAGGAGCCGGAGCGGGAGAAGCAGGTGGTAAGGCGGGGGACGGGTTGGGGGAGGTGGGAAGGGGAGAGAAGGGACAGATGTTGGGTGGGAGCAGTGCACAGCCACTGTACCGTACCGTAGGTGTGTGTAAGAGAAGCAGGTGCAGTGCTCGGAGGCGTCCGGACGTGTGGTAGGGGAGAGAGGGGGGGGGGGGTGGGGAGAGAGGAGTGGGTATGGGTTAAAAGGGGATCGTTCTGTGGTGAATAGTGCGACTTGCGCTGTGGGTGTGGTGGCGAGTACGCGCAATGGAGGGGAGGGGGGAGTCCGCGCAATGGGCCAGACATAGCAGGTGTGGTGCAGAGCTGGGGGGGAGGGGGAGGGGAGGGTAAAGAGGAAAAATGGCAGTAGCTTATGAGAGGGATGTGGGAGGGAGTGCTGTAAGGGCGCGAACATGTGGGCCGGAAGCGAGTACGGGAGAAGCAGGTGCGGAGCGGAGCTGAGGAGGACGGGCGGGGAACAGTGCGTTTATGAGAAGGATGTGGGAAGGAGGACAGCGGGCGTTAGTCTGTGATTGGGGGGTGTAGGAGAAGCAGGTGAGATGCTGGGGATGAAGAGGCGAAGGGGGAAAGAGGGTAACGTGTTGGGAAAAAGGGAGTGTGAGGTCTGCCTGTGTATGTAATGTGCATGGGCGGTAGGGGTAGATGTCAGGAGTCACATGTCGGTGTATGTGGAATACACAAATGCCAAGCCGGATGGATGGGATGGGATGGGGATGCGATCGGGAGCTGGGTGGGAAGAGGGAATCAGAGTTTGGGAGGGGAGAGGAGGAAATTGAGGGGGAATGGGGAATGAATCTCACATTCTCAACTCACCTTGCCTGCCCATCACCTCCCTCCACTCATTCTCTCACAACCATTCTCCTCTGCAGCCACTGTCATCGACTACTCGCCGACTCTAACCTTGGCAAATTTAACTTTTCACCCGCCGCCACCCTGCAGCAACTCACCGTGGCAATCTCCAGCTTGGTCAACGGCACCCCGTCATCGCTGGTAGAGCCAAACGCGTCCGCCATGGCCTCCGCCCGCCCCATCACCACTTTCTCTCCCTCCTCCCCGCCCCATCAGCAAACCCCCCCTTCACCACTTTCTCTCCCTCCCCGCCCTGCACGCCATCGCCACTGCCGCCGCCAACGCCGCTTGGCGAGGTCCCCACCCGTCACCTCTCCGCTGCCGCAGCACTTCCTGCTTCCGCCGTTCTTCTCCCTCTACTTTCTCTTTATATATGTCCTTGTAACATCCACATTCTCCTCCTGCTGTGCTTCCACAGCTTCGCTGGCCTCGCCAGCATCGCGTGGCTGATCGGAATTCGCGGAACCTGTTGCTCCATCATCAATCGTCGGGCCGCCACTAGTAGCATAACACTCAAAATCGCTTTTCTAAAACTACTGCAAGTGGAACATGTTTCTTTAGTCGCAAGATCCGCAGCTAGGGTTCCGTAGTTCCAGTCGTTTTCCTAAACCTACTGCTGGGTTTTGAACCCTCAGATTCGCTTTTCGATTGAAAATTAAGGCCGGATTCGGTGAGGCCTCTACAGCTCCGTTCGCTATACCGTTCGCAATGTGCTGGGAAAGGTACGGCCGCCAGTTTACCCATCCTCGCTCGTGATCAGCTGGGAATATGACGGATACGCTAACACGGGGAACAGGAGATTCGAGCAGAATCAAAAATTCGTGGCGGGGAGGAAAAGAAGTCTTTGTACGCGGCTCGAAGGGTAGACGGGTCGCACTATCACAGTCACTGGCGCGTTACGAACAGCCTTGACCACTACGGGAAAATCAGTCGGCTTGTGCATCGGGCCTAGGATACGAGGAATCCGCAAGAATGCCATTCTAAATTTGTTTTCCACAGTGTGGACTGGCAGTTCCGTAAGCTTCGATAGCACAGATTCGACGGGCTAAGCGGAGCCGAAAAGCAAAATAGGATGCAAACTAAGATGAGGTGCCACAGCTGGGCAAGGAAAGTATTGGAAAACCTAACGCGCGCCGAGCTGATCGGACTTTCGGCATTTCCAATCTCGAGGCTGGTAACAAACAAAACCAGGGTCTGTGATGAGCGAGTTTGTGGCGCAAGTGCTGTCCTCTCCTAAGGGCGTGTGTGATTTTTTTTAGAGTTCGTAATTTGGGTCTAACTTGGTGTGGTTACCTGTTTCGCCAATGTTCGCAGCAAGTTTCGTCAATGTCGACTCTAGTACCAACTTCTCTAAGTGCGAACCTATAAATGTGAACAAGATTCGAATGTATGCACAAACTTTGTCAACCACCATGAACCGAACGTGTGTTGTGTCAGGCACGTACGAGGTTTCAGCGAACCTCGCGATTTGTTCGTGCACCAATGGAGTCACATCCATGACCCTGCGCATAGCCCATCGCGCTAGGCCCACCACGTGGCATGCGTCATTGTCTGATGCTGAGCTGGAGACCTGGCCCAGCACGGGGATATTTGTAGCGTGCTCAACTGTCCCTTTGGCGAAGCCGAGCTGGAGGTCTAGCGTGCACTTCTTTTAGCTGCGCTTCGATGACGTGTCGCGCTGTCAAGTGATTGAAACCGGGTAACCTACAGTCCCAACATGCGGCTCGGTTCCCCCCCTGTAATTTCGAACTTGCAAATTCGCACCTCCGTGTGTGATTGTGAATCTACAAGCATTGTCACCCGCGGTTCGAAGATTGCCATCGCTCAAAGTCGAGTCAAGTTCAGTTTTAGAAACCCTGCTTAAATCAAGTCAAAAACATGAACTTGTCTTAAACCCCTAAATCACACACGCCCTAAGCCTCCCGAGGCCTTCTCGAGGCTCCGTTTTGAGGCTGGAACACACGATTCTTGGGGTGGGGTAAGCGGGAATGACAGGTCATGCGCAATTCGCCAACAAGGGTTCGGTTTCGCCAAAGGCAGCACATTGTGGAAACTCTCGCAAGCACTCTCAGGATGCGTCACAATTGAAATACCGAGGAAGGATCGGGGGTGTTCACCGATCCTGCCAAATCGATCGCCAGATCGGTGTGCTACGACTGCATTTTTGCAATCGCGGGCCCACCGCAATTCTCAAGGGACACGTTTGAGAAATCATGGGGCAAAATCGCCCGATCTGGACGAAATTGCACGATTGATGTGTGGCAAGGGCACATCGATCGCGTGACTCCGAGGGGACAGCTGTACATTGGCGACAGATAACGAAGTTAAATAACCATTAATTTGCAACTTGACGAAGTAATGTACCCGCGAAACACCGATCCTACGCAGGATCTATGTTTGAATTGTGACGCGTCCTCAATCTCAATTGTCACACCCATCCACTCTTCGCCAGGTTCGCCACGGCTCCTTCCTGGTCCTTGCAGTACGTCTGCGTGAAGGGTGTTGGAGAATCGAGTTTCTGCCGCCCCAGCCCTTTGCACACAAGCAGCAGCAAGGGGGAATGTCGGCGATGAATCAGAGCTTCGGGAAGTACTTCGAAAGTTCCACCACCAATCAGATTTCAGCCAAAGACTCGATATAGTTCAAAGCTGCCTTCAAACCGAAGTGTTGGCAGTTTCTACAGGTTTCTACACATCAGAATCAGCTATAACAGAAATATCCAGAGTTTTCTTATTCATGCACCTCATGTGGCACTCAAAGTCACTCAAGGTCCATCCAATCTAGATTGTGCCCAAGTTACCAGGGAAGTTACATTGTCTATCAGCCTAGTTTGAGCTTTCAATCTGTCTTGTTTGTGATGCCTAGAGTTGTGCTTTAGTGGGCTTGTTAATCTTGAACATAGTGAAGTTTTACCTCATCCAGTCAATTCCAGCAGCCCTGCTAAGACTTTCCAGCCAAGTTTCCAGCCCTCCAGTAGTCACAGCTACTCTGTTTTACAAGTTGGTATCAGAGCTTGTCGTTTCGATCAACCTAGCCCACCACGTTCCTATCCTAGCACCATACGCACATGGCGGGAGACAATCCATCTGGTCCTGCACTCCAGCCAGCCGGAGGAGCTTCAGAGTCAACATCAGCAGCTACTGGATTAGTGGAAGCAGTTGCACCAGGCAGTCCTTCAACAACATACTCACCACTCACCTCCTTCATGCCTAAGCTTCACCTCCCCAAGTTCAACGGCAAAGATTTTCCAACATGGGCAACTCAGTTTGAGCTCACTGCATCCCTTCTGGATGTGTGGCCTTACTACACTGGAGAAGCAGCCAAACCAGCAGCAGATGCTTCAGAAGCTGAAAAACGACTTTACGAACGACTCAACAAGGAGGCCTTCCTCTACCTACTCAATAGCATTCACGAGCAGCAGTTGAAGTCGCTCCTGCCCTGTTCTACCAAGGCAAACAGTGCAGAGGAAGCATGGAGCCGACTGAAGACTATGCACCAGTCAAAATCCGAGAGCAGCCAAGCCGAGATGTGGAGCCGCTTCATGAATCTGAAGATGGAAGAAGATGAATCAGCACAAGCCTACCTACAACGAGCTGAAGCAATGCTGGAGGAAGCAGCAGCGATCGGCTTGGAGATTCCAGAGTCTCTTTTCAAGACCGTCATCCTCACCGGCCTTACACCGGAGTGGGACACTTTCCGTGCAACACTACAAGCGCTCCCGCAGTCAATGAAGAGTCGTGCGTTCATCTTTGAGGCCCTTGTCAACGAGCAGCAGAGTCGAGACCTTGCACGGAACAAGCGGAGTGACGAAGGTGCGTGGAGTGCTGCAGCAGCCACAAGATATGGCAACCAATTCCAGAGGCAAGGAAATTTCAGCCCAAACCGCCCTCAACCCTACTACGGTACGAAATTTCAGTCACCTTCCAACCCATACAAACCCTCTCGTTTTCCTCAGTCAAGTCCTCCCTATAAGTCCAGTCACTATGTCCAGCCAAGGCCTTCGATTCCCAATCAATACCAGCCTAGGAATGCAAGAGTCAATATGCCAAGAGTCAATAATTTCAGCCAAGCCCCGAATGCTAAAAAGTTTAATTTTGAGTGTTTTTGTTGTCATGAGTGGGGTCACCCGTGGTATGCTTGTCCTAAGAAGCCTCCTAATTGGGTCCCCCCACCTCAGCTACTATCTGAAAAAGGTAAGGCAGCCATAGCAAATATAGCAAGTCATTCTACAAGTCAAGATGAGTCCAAAGAGTCCGATGGTCCTGTCCTTTTTAACGCTGCTACTTGCATGCACGTTTTCTCTACTAGTAGTGAGGAGTTTATTCTTGATAGTGGCTGCTCTGAAACCATGACTCCCTATCAGTCCATTCTCAAGGATTTTCAGCCCTCATATGACTCAAAAGCTGTGACTCTTGCTGATCTTGGCAAAGTACCAATCAAAGGAGTCGGCAAGCTTGAGTTCGAAAAGGATGGTAAGTCATTTTGTGTCAATAAAGCTTTGTTTGTTCCTGATTTGGGAGCAAACTTGCTCTCAGCCGGACAACTCGAAGAGAAAGGTGCCTCCGTTCTCTTGCAAGGGGGGAAAGCCAAAGTGTGGGACAGTGCAGGAAATCTGGTGGCTGAAGGCGAGCGTACCGGGCGGCTCTACAAGATGAAGTTGGAGATTAAGCGCGGTGCTAGCAACACGAAGAACGACGTTGTCTCGCTTCCCGCTGTTTCAACCGATCAAGTCAACAACAAAGGGAGTATCTCCCAAGCTGAGGTATGGCATGCACGCTTGGGGCACGTGGGAGTGCAAGCATTGAAAGAGTTGGTAAATCACAAGAGCGTGGAAGGATTGAGTTTGAATGAAAGTGCAGTCAAGTCCCTTTCTTCCGTTCCATGTCCATCTTGTGTGGAAGGTAAACTAGCTAGAAAGCCATTCTTCCCTTCTAAGTCTCAGTCAAGGGACCTCCTAGAGTTGGTCCACACTGATGTCTTCGGCCCCATGCGAGACCCTACTCGAAACGGTAAGAGATATTTGGTGTCTTTCATTGATGACAAGAGTCGTTTCTCGTGGTCCTTTTTCATCAACACCAAGGATGAAGTTCACAAGTGTTTCAAGCAATGGCTAGCACTTGTTGAGAGAGAGTCAGGGAAGAAGTTACTCACCTTGAGGTCGGAT